TGACTTTTCTGTGAGAAAAACATTTGTGAAGTAGAGTAGCTTGGAATAAGTAGCTCTAAGTAGAAGAGATGTTCTTTAGGAGTATTTTCTATGAGAATCTGTCAGCTGAGCTATGTCTATTAGATCCACATGGATTATGTTTCTCTCCCATGCTCTTTCACTCTGTTATTCTTAGTGTGCCATCCACTCTCTTTAGGTTACTCCTGGTCTATCAGTGTGCTGCTCATGTTACTTCTGATCTGAAAATCTCCTTCCAAGGTCAGGAGGTCACATTTTAAACATGGGAGCTATTATTGGTAATTAGACAAAAAAACGAAACAAAACAAAAAACAAAACAAACAACAACAACAACAAAAAACCAGCTCACCAAGGAAGCCATTCTGGAAGAAGAATGTTGGCCTTTGAGCCTGGAGTCTATTTTTATTGTCAAGTATTATGTGTTTATTTTTGTCTCATCTTGTACAAAAGGCAGCAGTAAACATGTGGCGATCTGAGGCTTGGATGTGAGCTTTTGTTCCCAGGAGCATTAGAGAAATCCTGTGTGAGAACTCTGAATAAGCCTGTGGGTCCTGGGTAACCAAATAAATGCTGGTCGCCAGGCTTCAGGGCAAGCATCTTGAGCCATCTTGCCAGCCCTTTACCAGTTGCTTTAAGTTAGCTTGTTTTAATGTGAATGGATTCCATCCCTGGAATCAGGAAGCTCATTAACCTTAAGATACAGTGTTAAATATTGTGTTTCTTCCCTCCACACCCCCCTCCCACCCCAGTAGCCTTTTTCTCACCTAAGATCCTACTCAACGTTGCAACCTGGGTTAAAATCCTTCCTGAACGATCTCCTTTGCTGTGGAGCCTAAGAGAAAGGGCCGAACACCTACCTGCTGACAGTCAAGGCGGTTGCAGTGTCCTCATTCTTCACATATTCCTTGGACCTCCTTGATACACCCTAGAACGTCGTATTGCCTGCACCATTAGTAGTTCCTGCTACCCAATCCCGGTTTTCCTCTGGGGGGCTCTGTCTAGCTGTGTTTTTGGATCAGCAGCCTCTGAAGCAGCATCATGGGGACACTACGAAGGCACGTTAGGTGGTCTTGGTGTCCGCTGCCGGAGCTCTGTTCCATGGCCGTCACTAGAAGCTCTGAGAACCTCTTCCACAGCAACAGGGAGGAGCAGTGTCTGCTCTGCACAGAGCAGTGTGGGTCTGGCAGGGCGGGGCAGCCCGCTCACTTGACTTGCTGACTTCCCAGTGGGCTTGGCTGGCTTTATCTGCTTGAAGGTGGACACACGCTTGCTTGGGAGGCAACTCAAGGAGGGTGATCTCTGATGATCAAGTACAGGGCCAGGGCTGCACATCTGCTCCCCAATGTTTGAGGCTTTAGCTAATTAAGACTATTTAGCATTCCTTGATGACTTATTTCAAAATTGTTACCATCTATTTTATTTATTTTTAATTAACTGAGCCATCTCCTCAGCCCCCCATTTTTTTTTTTTTCCATTCTTCCTGAGGACCAAACCTGGGCTTGCTAGGCAAGTGCTCTACCACTGAGCTAAATCCCCAACCCTAGAGCTTTCATTTGAAGGTGAGACTTGGATCTGGTATTCATCTTAAAAGAAATCACAGAAATCAATAAAGACATTAAAGATCTAATAAAGAAGCAGGCAAAGAAAGTACATTGAAAAAATTTAATCTATTACGAACAGTACTAATAAAATGAAGGTGATTCTGAGCGGGAGCTGCACAGACCTCCCTGCCAATCTTCAGTACATACCTTCCACAGACACTGACAGGAAGATGGAGATCACAGAGGCTAAACAGAACTTGAAGATTGGATTTGCTTTGTAATAACATGATAGTGTAAGGCAAAGGCTTAAGCTCGCTCTGACCTAGCTCAGAATTCCTTTCTGAGGATAAATCAATGTAACTAATGAACACGCTGGCTGCTAAAGGTGTCCATGGTAAGGGGTGAACACTTCCGTCTCCAGTAGAACAATAGTGCTAGTAGCAGCAAGCATGAAATAGCCAGGAGTAGGAAAAATGAAACAGAAGCTGGTAAAATCTGCAGTTTCGGTTGAAGTAAGTTTAAGGAAAATGAATCTTGAATAGAGATCCTTCTGGTTCACTCTATTCATAGGAACTTTTGGGTATTACCTAACAGCCCACCAGGGGTCAAATTTTGTTTTCTAATTTGTTTGGGCAGTTTTTGTTTTTTTTTTTTTAAACAATGATGCACTCTAGTTCTTGATGTTTTTCCTTTTTAAGTTCTAAGTATAAAATGTTCTCAATTTAATTGCACCACAGGACTGGGCTTGAGAAGATTATATTAGACAACCTGGAAGACATTCTAAAATAATTACAAAAGACCAACTCAACAAAATCCAATTGTCACTATAATAATGACCAGGTTTGGGGCAGCAGCTCAGTGGCCACCATTCGCAGGGCAGAGAAGCCTGGGTTCACTCTCCATCTCCACCAGTGTGACAATGGTTTAATTCAATTTTATGTATTATTTATGAAAAAGTGATCACATACTGTGAAGCGAACTTAGATCACTGAAGTGTCACCTCTTAAGAAACTCTTGAGAAATAGGTGGCATCTGTACTGCCTGCCAGGGGAAGGGAAAGCAGGCATTTTCTCTGACCCACCTATGATAGTTACTAAGGCAAGAAGGCTTCTAATACAGTCAAAGCTTCTGGGGCAGCTTCCCAGCTACTTCTAACTTATTCCGACTGTTGTAGCATTACAACCCGCCAACTGGCTAGCTGTTTAACCTCCCTTTACACTCTGTTGTATGCCTGTTCTCTCTTCCATTCTCCCACTTCAGGTTGCTGCTTCCGACCTCACCCAGCTCTGCCTGGAAGTTCCATCCTACTTCCTACCCCAGCTATTGGCGGTCAGCAATCAATCAGCAACCAACTCACAGCATGACAACACTTGATAGCACTCTAAGAGGGCCTCTAGGCGTGGGGGGGGGGTGTCTGACTGTCAAGCAGCTGAGGAGGTGTGGAAGGTCAAGTATTTACCAATAGAAAGCTGGCGATGGGCCATGAAATTACAATTCCAAAATCCTGCCAGCACTTAGCTTTCTCCTTACAATAAACAATTGACAATTTTAGCTTACAACTCTCAGGTCACACTCTTATCAGTGAGGTGGGTCAGGGCAGAAACACAAGTCAGGAGCCCAAGCAGAGGCCATCGAGGAGTGCTGCTTAATGGCTCACACCCAAGGCCAGTTCAGCTTTCTTTTTTATACTACCCAGGTCCACCTTTCAGGGGTAGCACTGCCTGGGTGGGCTGTCACCCCTTACCTCACTCCCACGAACTACCCCAGTGCACCACAGGCAATCTGATGGAGGCACCTTCTGAATTAAGGTTCTTCTTCCCACAGAATTCTAGTTTGTCAAGCTGACAACAAACAAAAACCAAACAGGTCAGTGCAGTATTAAAAATATGTTCTTCCCTTGTTCTCTTTGTTGTCCCTCAAAGACATATTCCCAAAGATTTCAGGAAATCCTTACTGAGGCTGGGGAGAGTGAGTTGGTAAGGTGCTTGCTCTGTCAGCATGAGGACCCAAGTTCCATCCCCAGCACCCGGCCTGCTATCATGTGAATATAATCCCAGGACCGGGGAGGCAGAGACAGGAGGCTCCCTGGGGCTCCGTGGCCAGGCACCCTAACCAAATCAGTGAATTTTGGATCCCAGCAACAGATCCTGTCTCCAAGAAAATGATGACTAGTGCCTGGGGAGGAATGAGGTTGTCCCCTACACACATGCATAGAAATATTACACTGTCTCTATCTTCACGTGTAAGAAAGAGATGCTACAAACTTTGCATTTGTTGTGAGAGAGTGCCCTGTATAACAGGCTGGGAAAATAACATCTATGTGCTATAGGGTTTGAGAGTCAATAGTTCTAATCCTGGCTGTGAAATTTAATAGCTGTGTGATGCTGGGCAAGCTACAGAGTATCTCAGGGCTTCAAATACCAAGTGGGCAAAATCTACTTTATTGGGATGTATGCACCATGTTGCTCTCCAAAACAATTTCTGATGCACCAAAGATGCTCAGCAAGTGAGCAAAAGTATTATAACAGTGTTTTTCCAACCACAAAATATATTAGTGAGTGCAATGCTCATGAGACCAGTAGAAAGAAAAGGAGAAAAATCTATGGCTAGTGCTATAGACAGGGTAACACAGTCATGGGAATGTGAGAGTGCTTGTGTACAGAGGAGTGGGTATGGCAGAAAATGAATTTCTGGAGAAAATCAGAGTTTAGTTTTTATTCTCAGGAATATAAGAGCTACTGAACGTATTTTGAGAAAAACCAAGAAAATAACAGTTTGGAGATATGAAGGATGAGATTGGAGCAAAGCTAGAAGTGGCGTGAGCATAAAACTGAGCTAGAGCAATGTGAACAAGGCAGAGGCCCATAGAAGAGAAGGGGGGAGCAATTAGGTGGGGGCAGTGAATGTGCATAAAAGAGTACAGAGGACATCCATGAATAAAGTGGAGTCAGTATGTTTTTAAGGAGGAATGTAATTCTGGACAAAAAGGACCAAGGGCATTTAAAGTGATGTCCAAGCAGAGTTCTTTCTCTGTGGACTGAAAATCTCCATGGAGATGAGAACTAAAATCGGAGGGATGGAGTGAAAAGCTGGAAGGGGTAAGGAGTAAGGGACTCTAAAACAGTAAATTAGAGGAAAGAGCCTTAACACATGTTACACATCTATACAGAAAATGCTAAGAAATGACAGCTTGGTTAAAAAAATAAAATAAAAATAAAAACCCAAAACAACTCTTTATCAGTGATGGACTTGAAAAGAGACAAGATATGAAAACAGTAGCAATACTGGTAAAAAAATTTATTCACAAATTTGTGATTTTGACATTTAACCAATTAGACACCAAAGCAAATGAAATCATTAGCCAAAAAATGTGTTTAGATTCTGCTATGAAATTAAGTGAAATCTTTTTTCTTTTATCAATAAATATCTAAGAGGGAGAAGTTCTGTATATCAGTGTTTATTTACAAGTTTATTTTTAAAAAGTTTTAGAACAATGATGTTTTGAAAGGAAGTCATCAAATGGTCATCAGCTTGTCTGGCAAGAGCACTGAGGGAAAAGGAACCTCAGGGATCCTCAGAGGTTGAAGTCTTGATGTAGAAGCCTCCAGTGTCCCCCTCACTTGCCAAGGAAGTGCCACGTCTCTTCTGTTGAAATTGTGGGGAGGTGGAAGGAATGTATAGGGACAGAGGGAGGAAGAATAGGGCATGTTTAATTTACAGTTGTAGGCTCTCTCCACTTACAATGAGCTACTGCCTCCAGGTCTCTGTGCTCAGTTCACTCAAGCTTCATATAAAACCACACTGGAGATTCTAGAACCTCACAGTATTTTCTGGTCGCCCTTAGAAAAACCTTCCTGCTGTAAAATTTGATTGTTCATGAAATATCCAAAGGTGATGTATTGCAAAGAAAACCTGACTGGCCAGCAGATGAGGACTTTCTTTCCCATGGAGTCCTGTCTAGGGACACCCTCCCTCCTAAATATCTCACACTGGACACAATAAATTGTTTTCATTTTTCCTCCAATTTCATTAAATTGAATATCCTAAAATTTTATATTAAAAGGCCAAAAGCCTTGTCATATTTTGAAAGATACATGGTATGTTTATATGCTTACATTTTGAAATTGTTATTGAAGAATACTTTTACTTGCTTCTCAAACAGCTTCAAGTCAATATAACTAAGGATATGGAACTTAATTTTAACCCTATGACATATTTTTGTTTTAAGACTTTCAGTTAAAATAAATGGCTTGTTAAATACCTAGATATAACAAAATAAATCTTTTAGATTAGTGTTTCTGGAGTTGTCTTAAATTTATCTGAACTGGCTGGAATTTTTCATTACTTCACTCACATGCACAGAGCCGTGGAGTGAGAGCCATCGTGTGAGTATGCCACACACAGCAGCACACTACAGGAGCAACAAGGAGGCCTGAGCAAGCCAGATGGAGGCTGCTTAATCACCATGTCATCAAACCAGCTAGCCTCAAAATAACAGTTGTGCTCATTTGCTGAAATTAGGGCAAGTGATATTTTATCACAACAATTTAATGACAATGTAAAAATCTATTATATTTAATTATCTATCTATCTATCTATCTATCTATCCATCCATCCATCCATCCATGCATCCATCCATGCATCCAACCGTCCATCCATCTATGTCTGTCTCCACTACTGTAAATAAATTTGTATATTTTTCTCTCAAGAACAAATATGTGTTCTCTCAAGAACAAAGCCAGTGGGATGGCTTAGGGTGAGGGTACCTGCTGCGAAGCCTGAGGACCTGAGTTCTACCCCCAGAGATTATGGTGGAAGGACAAAAGTGACTCCCAAGAGTACACTCACTCCCCCTCTCTTTCTTAAAGCGACAAGTAACTTTTAACAGATGCATACTGTACCTTCCAGATTGCTTGCTTTACACATTGAATGTTTTGGGGCCTAAAAGATAAGAACAGGAAAGAATTAATATATTTAATATTTATAAATGGTACGTGCATCCAGAAATATTTCTCATGAGATTATAGAATACAATTGACTCTAATTTCAAAAAAGTAAAGATTTCTTCTGCTTTATTGGGCTGCTCATTCTTTCTAAGAAACAAGCCCCAGATGTTGAATCAAATAAAAGAAAGCATGCTCAGAAATCCTTTCTTTCTGTCAGTAACCCAAAAAGCTCACTGAGCACCCTACCCTGGAGCTGAGTACGTGATGAGATGTTCCTTCACACCACACTCAACGTCAACCCCCAGGAACCTGTAGGCAGCCTGTACTGTCACCTGCACCCACATCCAACTCAGTATGTTTCCCATCTCCTTCCCCAAGCAAGGTTCTTGGGATCCATCACATCTGGATCCCTAATGCATTCCCTCAGGTCATACATGCTCTGGTTAATTTTCCTTGAAATATACAGAGGAAGAAGAGCAGGCACAGAGGATGATCACTATTATTGCGTGCAGACACACACACACAACATACTTAACTAGGCTGGTTTTGAGGGTGGCAGGTTAAAACAAGTGTAAGAGAGTGCACCGACCACACATCTGACATTGTTGGGATTTTTCAAGTTGTACATTACACTTTACACAAAGTCTCTGGAAAATTCACTGGTTAATTCTTCTGTCTAAAATTAACATCTGTTTCTAATTAGTACTGCCAGACATTTCAGAGAAAATGGATGATACAAAAATATAAAATAATCGGGCAATTTCTTGTTAGCCTAAAAGCATTGCAAAAAAGGAACAAGTAAGTTATCTCTTAAAACATGTATTATGGCACTATGTAAAACAAAAACAAAAACCCCCAAACCCTCAAGAATGTAATTTCTCCAGTTAGGACAGATTTCTTGACTGGTTAACTATATTTAGAACACACAAACCCCTCTCTAGCAGAGAACAGACATTATGGGAAGCCAGATAATGACATTCAGAGTTTTGTCACAGTTAAGAAACATCTTTTTCACATTAGAGAAGAGGATGATATTTAAATTTAAGAGTGACAACCATGGTTTAATGAAAAGCATCAGATATTTAACTCTTCAGTATTGGCAATAGTTTTCTGATTTTTTAATTAAAATTTTTTTCATAAAATATATTTTGATAATGGTTTCTGTGAACTCCCTTCAGATCCTCCTTGCCCACCCAATTCCACACCTTCTTCCCGACCAGATTTTTAAAGATGCAAGTACAATATTGTATAAATATGGTTTATTTCCCTAATTTTATCAGCTGACACAGTTTCAAATTTTTCGTGTCTGGTCTTGTAGCACATGCATTGGTATATCTATATCTAGAGGGACAAATTCAGAATGAGTTAAAAGCATCTTTAGTCTCAGGAAGAATTCCTCAGCGTTCTTCAGGGTGATATAAACAATCTATACTGCCAAGGATGAGGATGGGGCCTCTCCTTTCCCACAGACTTGAAAACATCTGGTATTATCAGACTTTTAAACCTCTGGCAATCTGATTACTATGAAACTGCACAGTATCTTGCTAATTTTTTGGTTTTGTGAGGCATAGTCTCACCCCCTAGCACAGGCCACTTTGGAACTCAGTACGTTGCTCGAGTTAGTCCTAAACTAGCAGCAATTCTCAGGGTCCCAGCTGCTGAGACACAGGCATCCTTTTCTAACTGTAAAGTTCTTCCTTTACACATGTTCCACCAGGCTCCCATACATGCCCCTCTCCTGCAAGGCGGTCCCAGACCACCACTAGTGACTAAGTTCCCACTCTCTTCCTCAACTGTATCCCTTCTCCCTGCTTATTTTTCATCATGGTATCTGTTGTCTAATGAAAGACTATTTTGCATCTACATTTATTATTTATTAAAATTATAACTTTGTAAATATATGTGAATATACAGTTATCTTTACTAAAATGTAACTTTCAAAAGGACATAAATTTTTGTATCTTTTTTAGTATGCACTCTACCACTGATAAATTATCACAGAGCAGGCTGTAATTGAATAGCTGAGGAATTAGGAGTGAGCAAAACCCAACAAATTAAAAGCAGCCATAGTGAACAAATAACATTTAGGAACATTTTAGTTGTTCATTAAAAACCTAAATTTATCAGTTTCTAGCTCATAATTAGTTAAAAGCAAGCCCTTAATTTATGAGGGGGATTTTAAGCCTGAGATCTCTGTTTAAATACACTTTATACACCTAATTATCCAAATATTAATGTTCTTATTTAGTGTTCTCTAAGAACTAATATTATTAATAATTACATTATCAATAAATAATATTAAGAAATCCAGTTGCCTCCATGCAGCATTATCATTAAGGCCAAGAGCTCCAAGGCATCCAGAGAAGCAAAGCTTATGACATAAGTGATATACACAGAAATGACAAGGAGGCCTTTAGGTATTTCAGCGTCTTGAGCCAGAATGCACCTGCTCTAAGAAGACAACGTGAGGGACAACTCACTGGGACGGAAGAGGACAGAGAAGTGCTCACAGATGGCAGTGAACTGGGAACATGAGGACAATCTGAACCCACACTTCAAAAATGAGACTAGGAGGTCTTAACAGCTTCTTACTTAAACTGCCTAGTTTTTTTTTTTTTTCTTTAAATGCTGACTTCAATAGCATTATTTCATCTTTTTTACTCATTATATGGTAATATAGTAAAAGGGTTTTTTCGCAAAGGGTTTAATGTGTTTCACTGCTGGATATTTGAGATCCTCTGTGAGTAATCTCATGATTACATGATTAGACACTTTGTACACTGGCTGCTTACCGATTCAACCAATGATCTTGCTTCCTCTGGAGTGCATCGGAAAGGGCTATCACACACGTACACATTTACACTGCAGAAGACAAGAGAATGTTAGTGACTACAGCAAAAAATGAGCAATTGCAGAGAGAAAGCCAACCTCAAACACTCTCAATGGGCCACCTGACGTCAGCCAATGAACAAAGCACAGAACAAGTGCAGATCGGGACAACTAAAGCTAGTGTACAGAATAATACATAATACTACGCTCTCCACAATGAAAAACAAGCCTAAAATGATATAATGTGAAGATAATTTCTTGGTGTAAACATAAACATCATGACTACATTTTTTTTCTTTTCTTTTTTTATTAATTACACTTTATTCACTTTGTATCCCCCCTGTGGTTCCCCTCCCTCCTCCCATCCCAATCCCTCCCTTCCTCCACCCTCTGCATGCATGCCCCTCCCCAAGTCCACTGATAGGGAAGGACTTCTTTTCCTTCCTTCTGATCCTAGTCAATTAGGTCTCATCAGGAGTGGCTGCATTGTCTTCTTCTGTGGCCTGGTAATGCTGCTTCCCCCTCAGAGGTAATTAAAGATCAGGCCAATCAGTTCATGTCAGAGATAGTCACTGTTCCTATTACAATGGAACCCACTTGGATACTGAACTGCCATGGGCTACATCTGTGCAGGGGTTCTAGGTTATCTCTATGCATAGTCCTTGGTTGGAATATCAGTCTCAGGAAAGACCCCTGTGCTCAGATTTTTTTGGTTCTGTTGCTCTCCTTGTGGAGTTCCTGTCCTCTCCAGATCTTACTGTTTCCCACTTCTTTCCTAAGATTCCCTGTACTCTGCCCAAAGGTTGCCCATAAGTCTCAGCATCTACATTGATAGTCTGCAGGGCAGGACCTTTTCAGAGGTCCTCTGTGTCAGGCTCCTGTCTTGTTTCCTCTTTTCTCCTTCTTCTAATGTCCAGCCTCTTTGCCTTTCAGGTGGGGATTGAACATTTTAGCTAATCAAGAGTCCTCCCTCTTGGTTAGTTTCTTTAGGTGTACAGATTTTAATAAGTTTATCCTATATTATATGTCTATATGAGTGAGTATATACCATGTGTGTCTTTCTGCTTCTGGGACAGCTCACTCAGGATGATCTTTTCCAGATCCCACCATTTATCTGCAAATTTCATGATTTCCTTGTTTTTTTATTACTGAGTAATATTCCATTGTGTAGATATACCACAATTTGTGCATCCATTCCTCCACTGAGGGGCATCTGGGCTGTTTCTAGCTTCTGGCTATTACAAATAAGGCTGCTACAAACATGGTTGAACAAATGTCCTTATTGTGAACCTGAGACTCTTTTGGGTATATGCCTAGGAGTGGTATGGCTGGATCTTGAGGAAGCTCTATTCCTAGTTGTCTGAGAAAGCGCCAGATTGCTTTCCAGAGTCGTTGTACAAGTTTACATCCCCACCAGCAGTGGAGGAGGGTTCCCCTTTCTCCACAACCTCTCCAGCATGTGTTGTCATTTGAGTTTTTGATCTTAGCCATTCTGATGGGTGTAAGGTGAAATCTTAGGGTCGTTTTGATTTGCATTTCCCTAATGGCTAATGAGGTTGAGCATTTCTTTAAGTGTTTCTCTGCCATTCGATATTCCTCTGCAGAGAATTCTCTGTTTAGCTCTGTTCCCCATTTTTTAATTGGATTACTTGATTTTTGCTGTTTAACTTCTTTAGTTCTTTATATATACTAGCTATTAGCCCTCTGTCAGATATAGGGTTGGTGAAGATCCTTTCCCAATCTGTAGGCTGTCGTTTTGTTCTGATGACAATGTCTTTTGCTTTACAGAAGCTTTTCAGTTTCATGAGATCCCATTTATTGATTGTTGCTCTTAGAGCCTGTGCTGTTGGTGTTCTGTTCAGGAAGTTGTCTCCTGTGCCAATGAGTTCAAGGCTCTTCCCCATTTTTTCTTCTAAGCGGTTTAGTGTGTCTGGTTTTATGTTGAGGTCTTTGATCCACTTGGACCTTAGTTTTGTGCAGGGTGATAAGTATGGATCTATTTGCATTTTTCTACACATCATGACTACATTTAACCTCTATATTGAGAATCAAATCCGACATACAGAGAACGACTATGTGGTGACAGTTTCCTCTACGGAATAAGTGCTGGAATTGGAAAGATACAGACACTCTCTTTCCCAAAGACACACAGAAGATGAGGGAAAAGAAGAAACTATACCATGACAACGATATGAAACTGAAAAGCTAAGCACCTGCCTCAGCTTCTTTTCCAAATAGTATGGGCCTGGAAACTCAAGTCCCTTCTTGACCCCAAAGCAGGCCACCACTGCACAGGCCTCACTCCCCAGATGGCAGCAGAGGCCACCATCCCTCTTACACATATATAGTAAAGGCATCTTCTAAAAATTCCACAGAAAAGCTGGCAGGTTGAAATGGATGTAGAAAACACTATTAGAGAAAGGAGCTAAGACCAAGTTACTTTTATTTTTAATCAAAGGAAAAAGTACCTAGCAATGACTGTCTCCTTAAGAGCTGAATGGGGAGGGACACACATAAACACTTGTTTTCTCTCAAATGGACCTAACAGCTACATATTATCAAATTTATCTTCACAATTGCTTTGTGAAGTATAATGGGAAGCTGAGGGAAGAAAATCTGTCCATTTATGTGTTTGGTTTTCAGACTACACCCATCTGTAACTGGCAACCAGGATCACAAGTACGTTCTCACTGCAACGCAGTGCAGAACTCATTTTCATTTTTTTCCACAAACAATATTTAATTTATAAATAGGGCGTACAGATTTTTGAATAACATTATTTATTCAGGTATTTCTGTGTCTATTTATTATGTGTGTGTACACTTGCCACAGCATGCATGTGAAAATCAGAGGACAGCACCCCGGAGTTACTTCTCTCCTCCTACTCTATCAGACCCAGGAATTGAACTTGGGTCATCAGCCTGATGGCAAGTGCCTTTTCCTGCTGAGCCATCTGGTTGGTCCAGATCTGATTTTTTGTTTTGTTTTGTTTTTGCTTCTTTGAGGCAGTCCCATGTTGGAACAGAACTTGCAACTCCCTTTCCTCAACCTCTCCTGCTCTGGAATTATAGGTGTGCATGTCACACCCAGTTCTGTGTGAAAGGCTTGATGAAAAGTGGCAGTCATATTTTAAGTTACAACTTCTTTACAGTTTTTTTCCTCCAAATCCCATGAATAGCTTGAAAACTGAAACCAGTCGATCTGAAGTCAGCTGTGTGTGTGAGAAGAGAAATAAAAAGAGGAGGGCAGAAGAAAGGCTCAGCAGCCAGGTCCGGGATTTGATTCACAGCACCTACAATGAGGCTCACAGCTATATGTAACTCCAGCTCTAGGGGATCCAATGCCCTCTTTTGGCATCTGTATGCATATGGTGCAGATACTCAGGTCCAATTACCCATACATATAAAAATAATTAAATAACTAAACAACTAAAAAATTAAAATAAAAGGCAGCAGACAAAACAATTAGATCCTGCAAGGTCTTAAGGGCTTGTCCTCCAGAGAAAGCCTGGTGGCAGATAAGCCTGCTCTACATAGTTTGTTTCTATGATGCAGACGAACGCCTTCCCTGTAATTGCTGGGCAAGCAGAGGAGAGAGCACACAGAAGGAGCTTCTGTAGGTAGGACTCCCAGACTAAACCGCATATCCAGCTACATTTAAGTTTCACACGGACCTTTGTATTTTATTTTCCAAAATAAAATTAACACATAATTGAAAAATGTGTCTTTGATCAAAACTACATGCTAAAGCTCAGATTCAATACACACATAGCAACTAATGCTCAAGTTGTACACTTACACACGGCAGAGGTGTGAGAGCCCAGAGGGCACGAGGCTATGGAAATGATGACCAAGATGCTTCTGGAACAGGAGGCATTTAAGATAGAGAGACAGCTGGCTGGAGGACATACATCATGAAGTAAGAGAAGCAGGCCTCAACTCTTCAGGCCTCAACTGAAGAGTTGGATTAAAGCCCACAACTGAAGGGACTCCCAAGAAGGTATTCTTTACCATAAATATGATAAAGTTACATTTACACTCTTGAAAGGTAAATCTATTTAGCACTTGAGAGGTAGAGGCAGGATTCAGATTCCAGGATTTTTGTTTTCTATTTCACATTATGCTAGCAGATGTAGGGAAAAGCCCACATGGAATCTATGTAGAAAAGGTCTTAACCCTCTAGGCTACTACTGTTTGATTCCTCTTAATTCTTTAATGGTCCAGGTCAGTTGGACAAGAAGACTTTGTATTGCTTCTGGGCTGCAAGTTGGCTGAGCAGGAAAAGGTGCTCAAGGGAAAGCCCATCTAAAATCTACTGACTTCCATCCCTGAATCTACAAAGTGGAAAGAGACTCTTGCAAGTTGTCCACTGAATGCTGCATTTGTGCTGTGGCATACACAAGCATGCCTGCACATACACACTCACTCACATGAAATAGAGGCTAAAAAAAGAAAACCAACAGCTTTTACTGTAAGAAATGATGCCGTAGTTTTTATGTAAACAAAATAACCATTTTTCTACATACTGGAAACTGCTGCTGTTAAGACATCTTTGCCGCCACCACAGTAGATTGCATTAAACATTTGTTTATTTGCCACTGTATCTTACTAAAATAGAAATTATTTCGAAGAAATGAACCACCCTCTACTCCTAGCTGCCAGTGACAGGCAGTTCAGCAGTGACCACTGAAATAATTTTTAAGTAATTTTAAGTGAAAAATAATTGAACTCCCTTCTTTGAAACCCTGGGACTTCAGCACTGCTATATGGTGGGCTTAGCAGAAAGTGACAAATAATGAATATTGTACACGTTCTTACCAACTGATGGCTCCCCGGTCACATTTCTTTGCAAGCATCGCTTTCCAGCATTCATGTGCATTGTTAACAACTTCAAGGGCGAAATCCTAGTTCCAACCAAAAAACAGACAGAGCTAGTTGCAACCCAGCTCTAACCAAAACAATGCTATACCCACATAGAATGGCGAACTGCTAAGTGCAGGAGCTCTGGAATTGGGCAGGTGAGTAGAAAACCTTTCTTAGTTACCAGCTTGCTGCAGGTGCTTGGTGCTTACCTGTTAACCTAACTTTTATTCACCTGATTTAATTGTTGTCTCCCAGGCTTACTGCCTCTGTCTGATAACCTAGGCCTAGTCCCAGAAGCTTCTATATAATCTAATCTAGCATCTATACAATCTCATCTAGGCCTGGAATGCTTTCAGCCTCTGAGATTTACTGATGAATAAGATCACCCTTTCTAGCTCTATCTGAACTCTGGCTGGCTGGTTCAACTCAGCTGTTCTGGCTCAAACTCCTCTCTCCAAGCTGACTGATTCAAACTGGCTTCTCTCACTTCTGACTGAATTGCTCTGCTTGGCCTCAAACTAACTCCAGCAAACTGTTCTAATCTTTTGGCTCCTTCTCATTCTCTGGCTCATTCTGATTTCACTCTATCTTCATTCTGTCTACCTTGTTCTTACTTCAACCTCTCTCTGTAAAACTCTCCTAGTAAAAAAAAATTGCCCATGAATTCCAGGAACTGAACTGCCACAAACTCAACTCCACTGCACTGACTCTTAACTCACTCTCAACCAAACTACTTGAACAGCATTGACTAGAACTCAGAGATCTGCATGCCTCTGAGTACTGGGATTAAAGCCCTGTACAACCATGCCTGAACCTAAGCTTTTCTTTACTTGAAACTTGCTCTATACCAGGCTGGCTCTGAACTCAGAGATCTGCTTGCCTCTCTCTCCTGAGATTCCAGTAGAATCACACAGCCCTAGAAAGTCTTTAGATGGGATCTCTTGCCAGAGCAGCCATGCTCTGAACTAAAATTCTCCACATATCTTCACTAAGCCTCAATTTCTTATTGGGAGGAATAGCATTGAACGGGGTGGGGCACAATCTATAAAAAGGCAGGCAAATGAAAGCCTGTGGGTCAAACATGGGCTGCCACCTGTCTTTGGCCCATGGATGTTTTAGTGGTACAATAGCAGTGTTGAGAAGATGTTAGGGAACCATACTGTGTGTGGAAAGCCCAAACAATTTACCATCTGACCTGTACAGACATAATTTGCCCATCTTGAATCTAAACCACAGATATAGTGAATGAATGAATAAAATGATGCAAACTCAAGGGCTAAGCCGAATCCACGATTTGGGAGGAAGAATGTATATGTTTATTTCATCGTTGCCATGACTGCACACAGTCTGATTGTAATTTTGCACAGCTCGATGTCTAAAAGCAATAAATCTTCTTGGAACCCCCAAGTCTTTCTCAGTACTAATTCATAAAATATCTAAAATTACACACTCAGTAATAAATGAACATTTGGGTAGCTGTACATTTAGTAACACTACATAACAAAAATCTTCTTTATTCAAAGGAGAAAATTGTTTTTACTTATGTTTCAAAATTAGTTTATGTGTATGTGTGTGTGCCTGTGTCTAGGTATGTGCAGCACATGTGTGCAGGAGCCCTGGAATTCAGGAGAGAGCTTGAGATACCCTTGAAGTTGAGTTACAGGTGTATGCCAACCACTATGTAGTGCTGAAAGCCAATCCTGAGCCTTCTGCAAAGGCAGTAAGACCTCTTAACCAGTGAGCCATCTCTCCAGGCACCAATGAAAAAAAAAAAAGAATAAATAAAATTATTTTCTGATTTTTCCATTCTAAATGTTGTTTCTTTTCTTTAAAAGGATAATTCTTACTTATTAAAAAATTCATATTAGCTTTATTCTCCTCAATTACAACTAATTATTATCACACTGAAGAAATAATCTTTGGCTCTGAGATAGACTTGTAATGAGACCTTTAACCTGTGAAATGAAAGTTCTTTCAGGTCTACAGCTGAGAAAAACACAGCAGCTTTATTGTCAATGGGGTAGTATTGGAATACTATTTTAGATAAGGGGATAAGAAATCAAAGTTATTATGTGAATAATACAGGGAAGGATTCTTAAAATTATTAGATAATTCTGTTTGTAATAAATTCCAGTACCTGCTTAATGAAATGGGCTGGAAAAACTCTAGGATTAAAAGCGAGAACTGTTTTCAACCACATAGAAGAGGCGCAATTAAATGTTTTCAGGCTCTGTGTTTTAATGGCAATCATAAAAAGCAGTACATCAATTGATGGGCATTACAAGAATGACCCAGCCATCATACAGAAAAGAAGCAATGTTTGTCCAAAGCCACCAGAACACAGAACACACCTGACTCTGTATATTCACAACTTGAAACACTGCCTTTGAGGCAATATAGATGTGTGTGCATGTGTGTGTGTGTGTGTGTGCGCGCGCGCGTGCGTGCATATGCACATGTGTGTCTGTTACTTACATAGTTCCAAATGAAGGACATAGCAAATTATTTTGAGAGAAAAGATAGAAATAATTTATTTTAAAAGTATCCAACATTGCATTTTTAAGACAAGTCTAAAATAACTTTTATATTTTAAAACTCTAAACAAAGCTCTTGTGACATTAAGGATTCTTTTAATGAGACTTTCAAGAATACACTGAGTCCATCGATCAGTTCTTACAAAGAAACACTTTCTGTCAGCTTTAAGCTTTTATAAAATGCTTTGTTTCACTTATAGAAGATACTTTCTGTACTCACTTAGAAATTGGTTAAGAGTGTGCAATTTATTTAGTGGTAACAGTTTTAGAAAAAAACATTCCATGTTTTAGACTTCAGCTCTCTGGCTGATTTTCTCCATTTGTGTCATATTAGATTAGAAACATTTTCTGTGGAATCTTTGTGGCATTCTAATGGAAAAAATCCTCTACCGGGAAGGTAATTCAAGTGCTCTCTTAATTGTTAAGCAACTCCAGTCAGGCACGGTAAAATTTAGACAGAAGGGACTCGTGGATGGAGTTACATGAAGGGAAAGTAGACTCCTCAAGCAAAAAAGAAAAAAAAGAGAAAAGGAGCATCTTTCCTACACAATCTGCAAAGTTTAAAGTAACTGCAGAATTCCTTCACTTTCTGGGATGAGCTATATGTAGATCAGCTCATAATGCCCGTAAATACACACATCAGTAAAGTCACTTTGTAGGAGAGGGAGTAGGGAAGGAAATAAGAGGGGAGGTCAGGTCACACCAGGTCATCTAAGTGAGCCACCAGGAGGTACACACTCAAATACAGATTCTCCTCTTTACCTTGTTTTTGAATTCTCCATTGAAAGCAAACTTGTTTTCTGGCTTTCCTTCTGGTACCTTATAAAGTCTCAACCAATCGAGAGTGGCCTCCAGGTAGCCTGGCTTGAACTTCTTAACATCATCAATATCTGTGAGGGAAGAAACAGAAACACCTTGTTAGAAATCATGTACACTGAGCACTACAGTCAGTCCTGGTGTGCAGAGGCCAGGAAGTATGTGTGGAAGGGAGGGGCTAGTCCAGCTTACAGCATCACCAACTATGCTGGCGATGGTTGACATGCCTCACATCACATGTAGACTTTTAATTCCCTATGTAAAATACAGTTCCTCCATTCCACAAATATTTACCAAGTTCCTGTCTGGGAGTTCACAGGGCTATATGAGGTTGTCACAGACAGACTCAGGGTGGTCGTTAGGAGGTAAGGAAGTGAAAGAAAGAATGAGAGAAGGAGTCCCAAGGAGTCAGACAGGAGCAGAAAAAGGTGGAAGGAACAACATGTAGGACGTGAGGGAGTGGGTTACAAGTAATAGAACTATGTCCGATGTGCTAAGTTGGGGGGAGACTGGATCTCAGCGAATATCCCACAACTCTCCTCTGCTGGCTGTGTCCCAGTTGGACCTACAGTTAGTGGGGGGGGGGTGACGACTGTCTACCTCTACAATCCTGGGGCCCAGCAGGGAACAGTGTAAGAGAGGGGGTGGAGGAGGTAAATAAAGGTGGGGGTCAGATGCGGAGAGAATGGGGGCAGGAGGCCTGAGTGCTTGGAGAGAGAAGGGAAACCAAGGGCAGGGGCATCTCTAAGACAAACTGGAGACTTGCACTAGAATAGGTTTCTGGGAGGATATGGGGGTGACTCTAGCTGAGACTGAAGAGGCTACCTTCTAGCCAGACAAGACTTCTAGTGGAGGGAGGGGGCACAAACCACCCACAAAAACTTTGACCCGAAATTTACCCTGCCTACAAGATGTGCAGGGATAAAGATAGAGCAGAGAATGAGGGAATGTGCAAATAATGCCATGCCCAACCTGAGACCCACTCCATGGGAGAGAGCCCACTATTAATGACACTTGGTTATGCTTGAAGATGGGAGCCTAGCATACTGTTCTCTGAGAGGCTCCACCCAGCAACGGATTGGAGATGTTGAGACTCACAACCAAACATTAGGAGGAGCACAAGGAGCCTGGTGGAAGAGTCGGGGGAAGGATAGAAGGACCCGGACGGAAGAAGAACTCTACAAGAAGACCAACAGAATCAACTAATCTGGGCTCACTGAGGCTGAAGCTCTAAGGACAATGAGGACCCACCCCCCATACATATGTAGCCAATGGGCAGCTGAGTCTTCATGTGGGTTTCCTAGTAAGGTGAGCAGGGGCTGTCTTTGACATGGACTCTGTGCCTGTTTTTCAATCACTACTCCCTGGCTGGGCTGCCTTGTCTGGCCTCAGTGGAAGAGGATATGCTTAAGCCTGAGGTGACCTTATGTGCTGAGGTGGGTTGGGGAGGGGAGTGGGGGCTCCCCTTTTCTGAGCAGGTGAGGAGGACAGGGTGAAAAGGGTGGGAGGTTGGAGATGGGAGGAGAGGAGGAAGGAGGTATGATTGGGATGTAATATAATGTATATACATGTGTGTATACACACACACACACACACACACACACACACACACACACATACTACTCCCCATTCTTATAAAATAGCTCTGTAAATTGATTGATTCCAGGTTTTTCCCACTTAATGTTCTCATATTTGTTTGGGAAAATAGTTTAGTATACCAAGTTGAATAACTAGAAATGTACTTTAATTTCCAAAATAATTTCTTATACTTTATAATTTTTGATTGATGACTCTATCCTTGTACCTCACCCAATCCACTGGTCTTTATCCCACTGTATAAAATATGTTTCATTATCTTGATTTAAATCACCAATTTCAAAGAAAGAAGAAGCTAATTATCCAATACCCTTTTCAGCCGGGGGAAGCTCTTTGCTCAGAACTTATGGAAGGGACCTTTAAGATACCAATGATTAAAAATGCCAAAGATTTAATAATGCCAAATCCAAGTACAACTCTCCAGTAGAAGCTAAACTTGCCAATTCTCAACTAATTACATCCCCAGGGAAAACAGCTGCTTTTTCATAAACAACACAAAACTCAGACAAAATGGGAAGCGTTCAATTTTAGAAACCTCAGTAAGTCTCCAACCAGAAATACAGGTCAACGAAGTACCTTTCTGAAAGCAGGAAACACTGCACCTAAAATCGTAAGCAGATTCACTGTTTACAGAGTACATTTATGCTAAACATAAGGAAACTATAGTGAAGAGAGCTTACCAGGTCTGCTCAAATGTGACAGGAGCAGCACTGTAAGAACCACGAGATGAATTCTTAACCTGTTTCATCTCGTTGCATAGTTACAGCATCCCACCAAGGGTGTTAGGAATAACTGCACCTGTGTTTACACGCCTTTGTCTACTCTGATAAAATACTCGCAGCACTCATTCCTGTCTCCTGTAGTCACGTCAGGAGTATGGCTCAGGGGCACTGTGCTCACCCATAACATCTAATCGTCAGCGCTGTCCAGCTGTAGGCCCTCTCTGTCAGATACATTTTTGTAATTTAGGATATTTTAAAGGAAAGTAAGTTTTTAGCACCCGTTCATCTCCACTCTGAGGATTTTATATGAAAGTTTATAATGTAGACAGTTACGCCTTTTATTGTAGGATGGACCACTCCAACAGGAAGCAAGGGAACCTGGAAGGTTATTTACAAAATCAAGCTAAATAGATCGTGGCTTCTCTCCTGCACCAACCAAGCCCTTTTAACGGAACTACTTATCACTTTACTGAACTAATTAACAAGGACTGCACCGTGTAAAATATTCTGACTTAGTCTGTGCGGAGTCTGGTGGGGCCCTCTAGAAGGAAGCATGCACCTCTCCCACCCTCAGTTGGGTTTTATCTTTGCCAAGTATCAGATGTCCTCATGCCCAAGGCATCCTGCAGTGGTATCTGTGGCCATCGTTATGGGTTTAACTAAATATTATTTAAGCAGGTGAATAGATTAATACAAAAGTGTGGGCTTCTGTGAAATTAATTTTGAATATTCTGAAAAAATCCCAGAAAACTGATTACTAAAAACATCTGTCATCAATTTAGGGCTGGTAATACAAGAGAGAAAATCTTAACATCTGCAGTGCACACAGACTGCTGAGCTAGTGACGTGGGAAAAGCACCTTACATAAGAGAAGTCAAGCTAATGCACTAAAGTGAACTCTTTTCTCAAAAGATTATTTTTACGTTATTTTATATGTATGAGTGTTTGCCTATGTGTGCACCACGTGCATATAGTCCCACCAAAGCTTCCTGTTCTCATCCACTCCGAACCGGAAATCCAATGTCCGATCACCGAGGAAACCATGGTGTAGTGGTATCACAGGGCTCTATCCAGTGACGGCACGAGGCATGCTACTCCGCCCAGCCTACGGTTCTCCAGGACACATACAAGAGCAAAAAGTTACACTTTAAAGGGCATGTTTCATGCCACAGGACACCCCATAGATCATGGACACTGGACCACACCAATGCAAATTCTAGAGAATATTAGAAAGCCATGTTTGTTATGGGCTTAGGGTAGGAAGAGAGGACTCACTGGCTGTACACAGGCAGGGGAGTTTGTAGGTAACAGAAGCATTTGGTCTGAGGATAAACTTACACAGTTGTCAGAACTCAAACTCCGTATTTCAAGTGCAGTGACTCTATGTCAATACGGAAAGGGCTAGGGACACAGTTCAGTTAGCAGTGTTCACCTAGCATGTACAAGCCCTGAGTTTTGTGTCTCATTAACTGGGTGTGGCGCACACCCATGGACCTACCCTTTGGGGAGGTGGAAGCCAGAGGATCAGAAGTTCAAGGTCATCCTTGGCTACAACGAAAGTTTGAATCTAGCAGGAGATATACGAGATCCTTTCTCAAATAACCAAACAAAGGAAAAATGGGAGTCCTACTCTTCAAGGAGTTTACAGTTGAGACACAGAAACAAATTACAAACATGGAAAACAAACATTTAACTGCATTAAAAAAAAACAAACAGTGTTTGTGGAGGAAAGATTATGTTTGCCTTATAGAATCAAAGTCACTCAGATGACTTTTAGACTGGCTCTTGAAAGATAAGGTGTTTCCTGGTAGACAAAGGACATTTTGTGACAGAGATGTTTCTGCAAAGCCACCAAGCTATAAAAGAGCGTGGCACATGTAGAAGGTGGGATATGCCAGGTGTTGGGGGGAGTCCAGTTTACAGAGTAAATGTCAGGAAACAGTAGAAAGCATCAGGTGATGTTTACTAAGGTAGAGAATTTGCATGTTTTTTTAAAGAGCGAGAGTGGGAAGGTTTTCTACCCTTGTTTTAAAGTAAGATCTCTCTAAAATCAGTTTGATAAACAATGCAGAAGGTAAATTTTAGTTTCAGGATGCTGAGACCAGAGAAATGTTAACATCTCAACAACAACAACAAAAAGCAATATATTGACGTTTGAGGAAACACAAAAGCAAGAATACATCCGAGATATATCTGATGTAAAAAAATGACAGAATCAGTAATATATTGTAGGTTGGTGACTTAGCAATGATGTGTAGCTGACAAAGTTTTATAATGTCACAAACATAAAAACAAAGTGAATATACATGACACTAAAGAAAGAACTATAATCATTAAACATGTCAAAAATCAAGTACTATTTTTTTTTCCTGTTGGAATAAAAAAATACCTATTTTGAAGGTACTTTTAAATTTCACTCAAGAAGTCCATTTTAAAAATACATACACATTGCCTTATGTAAGTCACGAGTGCTTAATTATTCTGGAGGACTTTAACCGAGACTCCACAGAGGGCAGCAAGGTATTGATAAGAGCCAATGCCAGAATGATTTTTGAATGCTGCTTTAATTACACAAATCACACAAATATCTAAAAGTTGCCTAGCTCATTATATATCGTATGGGGAATACAACTTGGCCGCAGGTATGGGCTCGGACACTTTGTCTCCGGGGAACTTCTCAGTTCCAGCTGGACCTTTGACTCTTCTTCTGATGACTTGATAGGCCTTGGAGTGCTCCAGCCAGGCCTCAGATGCAA